TATTATGTGCAAAAAAGCCCTACAGCGTGACATCCTTATACCGCTAATAGCCCATGTAGTCTACCCGCTTATAGCGTTATCTCTTGTAGCCTTACCCCTTTATAATGTTTCTTCTCATAGCCTTATTTCCTTATAGCCTTACCTCCCTATCGACTTACTTCTTTACAACCTTATCGCTTTATTTTCTTATCTCCTTATTGCCTTATTCCCTTATAGCCTTATCCCCTTATAACCTTACCCCCTTATAGTGTTCGCCTCTTATAGCGTTCTGCCGTATAGCCTTGCATTTTTTTGCCTTACTTCCTTATAGTGTTCCCCTCCGATAGTCTAACTCCTTTAGAGCCTTAGCTTCTTATTACGCTATTCTCTTACAGCCGTACTCCCTTATAACGCTCGCTCCTTATAATGTACCCCCTTATAGTCTTACCCCTTTATGGCCTTGCTCCTTATAGCGTCTCCCCCTATAGCCTTCTTCCTTATAGCTTCGCCCGTTATAGCTTGTCTCCCTTATTGCTTTACTCCTTTATAGCCTCACCCCTTTCTGACCTTACGTCCTTATTGCCTTACTCCCTTATTACCTTACTGTCTTATAGTCTTAACCCCTTATAGACTTCCTCCCTTATAGCCTTACCCCCTTATTGTCTTACTTTTCCACAGCCTTATTCCCTTGTTGCGTTATTCCCTTATAGTATTGTTCCCTTATAGTCGTATCCCCTTATAACCTTATCCCTGATAGCCTTATTCTACCATTGATCGTTAGCCTCTGATCTTTAACCTTTGACTCGGCACAGAGAAACATACATACACTGAATATTATATATATAGATGATGTTTTGAATCATACCATATCAACTGGCAATACTCGTTTTGCTATAAAACAGTTCTTTTTCTATCAAAATATTATAACTAGCCTTTGACTGATACTTCTTTCATGTGCTTTTACATTGTTATCTTAGAGTATATACATCATATCTCACACATACTTGTAGTCAAAAAATACAATATCTTAGGTTTCATTCTCTTATTGACAATTATGCAAACGATAAAGAGAAGCAGCGCATATTATCAATCGTCCACATTTTCTGCCCCGAATCGATGTACTTCTCTTTATCAATCAATTTTTTCTCGATTTCTTTGGTACATTGATTAGATTTCTTCAATGTGTTCGATCTTACGTGTTTCATTGATGTATCTCAACGGTTATTTCACTCAAAGATGTCATTCATTGGGAAGCTAAATATCGAAAATCACTGATATTAAAGTTGGCATTCTTGTCACGTACATAATTCGGTGTGGGTATGGATACTAATCCCTTCTTAAGGCACATCAAAACCTACACCTACTTCCATACCACTGAAGATGACCGCGAATCGGTGCTTATCTGTGAAATAAAGCTCAACAATGTTATATTAATCGATGCAGCGACTAAGCCTCTTTCCGATGAGGAAAATTGAAGCTTTCAATCTTGTTACTATTAAAATTTATTCGCAAAATACTCCTCCATCCTTTTTTCAAAATGGGCGTTAGTATTCAGCAATAGTGATGACCAGTATATTGTTATCCAGTGTACTCGTGTTAGTGCATAGCTACCTATTCGATTTTAATCTAATTTTTCGTCAAAAAATTTTGACATGAGTGACGATATTGAATGTTGCTATATCGACCGCTTCTACAGAAATGGGATGCGCAAGAGCAATATACAAGACTGGTTTCTAAACTTAAGTGTGCCTCAAACACTAACAATTAATGTGTCGGATACGTCATAATTTGCGACACATTGTACGATATATCAAATTCCAAAACTAAATGCAAGCTGTGTCACATTTTTCTGTGACATATGCGATACTTTCTTGAAACATTGTTAAAGCCTAATCGCTATCGGTTTCACCTATTTATCTCATTCGGAAGTGGATGAATTTCTGTTTTTCCACTGATTTGAAATAGGCTTTACTTTTATTTCTAAATCCCATGCCTCGAGACTCGAGCAGAAGACGACAACATCTAAAGATATCGCAGTAGTGTCAAACTTGTAAGTTGAATGAATCGTTGAAGACCCATCTAAATGCTTAATTATTGACTAATTGAAGTAAAGATATTTGGATATTCATATATTGCTTCTGTTCTCACTCACCATCAAGGAAGAGGCCACCATCAATATGTTTACGGATCCCTCTCTCTTTCATCCTTAGGGAAGAGAGCGTGTATACCATCCCCATCCTCACCGAGAGCAACGATTGAATATCGGCATTTTTTTACTTCAGCTATTCAATAACTGAATTCAACTCTCAGGTTTATCATATATGTTTGTCCTGTAAGCTTCATATTTCCATATTAAGTAGAGTGAGGAATCTGAAACTTTCAAAAAATGGGAAGAATAATAGGAGGTAGCTGTAATAAAAATCTCATGAAGATTGGTTAGGGACATCTGATTTTATTTTAATTTTACGCTTGCAACTTCAAACTGTATAAAGAGCATACAACTGACCCATATTTTGTAAGGAAATGGAACTCAAACTCAATCAATATAGGTGTGCTACATACATGTTTTCGAATTTTCAAGATAGAACCACTTGTTATGGCCAACATATCCCTATCTTTTGAACTGGATTGGGAATTTCATTTCTGAATTTTTCAACCACAACTCCAGCTAATAGTTGATATATGTTATCTGCTCCTGATCGTCTTACCCAGCAAAATACATTCTATCAAAATTTGTTTATGAAAGATTGTTTGTATTTTCAGAAGAGGCGAACTTCTCATCATATATACTACAACTGTGATTCTGCTGATCTTGGATAGGTTTATCATAGAACATGCGCTGGTATAAAATCTACGTAGTTTCCATAATGTGTCAGAAGATGTTCGTTGGATTCACTCGCTATTTTGACTTTTTTCGATGGTACAAGATATATTATGCATATACGATCGGTTTAATAAGTCTCTTCATCATACTTCAATTTCGCATAGGTCCTTTTTGCACAAGTAATAAATTAGATTTGCAACTGATTAAAGTGACAGAGATGGATTCACATTCATCAGCATCTATAGTGTACCAATACGGACCGAGGATACTGAGCGAACGTTGTAACTACTCCTATTCGACGGCATGTGAAAGAAATAGGTGTTCACCTGGCAATGTGGTACACAAAAATGAGTTAGTCAATTTGATTACCTTAGTACTGCAATCTCACTCTCTAATGTATTGTCCTGTTCCAAAAGTAGCTACAAAAACTATTCTTACTGTTATGCTTTATATGCATGTGCGTGACATTATCGAACATCTCAATACTAATTGGACAAATATTGATGCTTCTAGAGCTGGAATGGAACAAAGGATCAATATTTCTGCCTTCATTGAGGACCTTCGACAGGTATAACGAATAAATATTGATGCTATTTGAAGAATCCTCTAATCTTTTATCTGGATCTCTCACTTTAGAATGCAATTACAATTCCGAAAACCAAAGAACCGAAATCTCTGGCCGTGTTTCTTCGCATTTACCTTGATATCCTCCGATCTGGCAGTATCAATGCAACGTTCTCTTCTCCATCTCTTAATCCTTGGAAACTCAGATTCACATTCGCATTCCCATATCTTCGTCTCCATAGTCTCTCCAATTTATCTCAGATATTCTCTCCATCTTTCACTCGAGCCATCTTCGTTCGTCATCCATTTGAACGTCTTGCTTCAGCTTACAAAGAGAGAATTGCAACGCTCAAGCAAGATAGAATTCAACCAGAGCCTGAATATGATGCCATGCGCGAAACGATCTGTCGTCGGCGTATGCGGCTCATTAAGCTACGTCAACTTTTAAACGAAAGTGATGCATGCATGGGAACTATCCCTTCATTTGAAGATTTTATTCGATATATTCTTATTGGCACTCATATACCTCGTGGAATTGCTAAAATGAATTATCATTGGCAGCCCTACTCGCTGCTGTGTCAAGTCTGTAAATTTAAATATAACTTTATTGGTAAATATGAAACATTCAACGATCATTTCACCTATTTTCTCAAACTTTTCAACGTATCTGATTGGAATATTCAAACACGAAATGGTGCATCAGGTCTAAATACATGGGATTATCAGAAGCTTTACTCAACCTTGCCAGATGAGCTAATCTGTCAGCTCATACGTCTCTATGGGAAGGATTTTCGTCTATTCAACTATCGAGTAGATGATTATATTAATCGAACTACATTGAATCAAAACTGTAACTGATCGAGACCAGTCTAACCGATCTTGATCTACTGGCTAAATTTTCAGATCGAATCAATCCGATCGGTCGCTGACTGGTTCAGAAAATTTTTTAAACCGGTATAAAATGAGGGTGTGGGTGTGGGTGGGTGTGTGGGTGTCGGTGGGTGTGTGGGTGTGAGGTGTGGGTGTGGGTGTGGGTGGGGTGTGGGTGTGGGTGGGGTGTGGGTGTGGGTGGGGTGTGGGTGTGGGTGGGGTGTGGGTGTGGGTCTAGCTCTTATCCTCGATTACATCCGCATTTACACCCACACTCACACACTCACACACCCTACACCCTATCCACACCCACACACCCGACACCCCACCGACACCCACCCACCCTACACTCCACCCACACCCACACTCCGACGCATGGCAGCAGAACGAAAGGAGATATAGATGGAATCCACATATATGACGACATCACGGTGATTAGAGAAATAAAAAGATGATGTATAAATGATGGTGCCGCCTAACAACACTATGCGCACCTGCGTATGCGAGAAAATAAATCAGGGATATACAGCATGATAGGTTGATGCAGAGAAGAAAAGAGAGAAAATAGGGTGTAATCACGCAAGTCATATTAGATATACATCATTATTATAAGCATATTCTAACGCATACAAAGCTACTTCCCATCGTCAATACATAACATGTTTCTGTTTAAAAAAACGCTGTGGTATATACGGTGTACCACCCGTCCCGATAGGGTTAATAAACTTTCGCTTGTTTAGGTAGTCAATTTCTTTCTAATAGTTTAACATTGATAGAGGATATTTTGCTTTTTATAGATATTCAATGTCACATCCATTTGAACCCTTGGTGAACACCAGGTTACAATACCCGTTCCGTCAAAAATTAAATTCATATTAGCTGTTGATTTCACATGAAGTGAACCAGTACCCGTCAGAGTAGCGTTAACACTTGGTGTTGCTATACTAGTTGCATCAACAGATCCTTTGCCTAGATTAACAACAGTTAGTTTGCCGATATTTCCACTTAATTTCGCTGTACTATTACCCAAGAAAATAAATTCTGCTAAATCGTAGCCAATATTAGATATTTGAATCTGTGAATTGCCCATGCTGAGTAATCTTAATTGATATCCTTTATAAAAATAATCTGTCATGATTAATCTTGATACACTATCGATATGTATCGCTTGATAAGTATAGGCCCGAATAGTAACATCACAATCGGTTGTCGCTAAGATAATTAATATAGAATCTTCAGTAACATTTGCTTGAACATAAGGAAGAACACTGGGATCATCACAAGTTATTTTTGTAGAATAGTCGCTGGGTGATGAAGTAGCTTGCAGCTGAACATTTCGCGCTATTAGAATATTTACTTCATAAAATGATGGCGTAGAAGGGGATGATGTTGGAAACTGGCTTCCACTGGTAGTAGTTATTGGGAACCCAGTGGTAGTAGTTGTTGGGAACGCACTACTAGTAGTTGTTGGGAAGGCAGTGGTAGTAGTTGTTGGGAACACAGTGGTGGTAGTTGTTGGGAAAGCAGTGGTGGTAGTTGTTGGGAACCCAGTGGTAGTAGTTGTTGGGAAAGCAGTAGTAGTGGTTGTTGGAAAGGCAGTGGTGGTAGTTGTTGGGAAAGCAGTGGTGGTAGTTGTTGGGAATCCAGTGGTAGTAGTTATTATGACCCAATTGAAATCAGATGTTCTCACTGCAATCGCCATATTTAGATGAATCAAACACAGATTCACAAAGATGGTTAGCAGCGTCAGAGTCTTCATTGTTGTCATGTTATCAAAAACACATTAATATAAACTCAGGTTTGTTGCTTGTTATATAGCCTTTCTGGTAAACGTCTTCAGATAAGAGATAAGATGATTCAAGGTGATGAGTGTGGGTGTGGGTGCGTGGGTGGGTTTGTGGGTGTGGTCCTAGGTGTAGGTGTACGCGTGGGTTTGTGAATGTAAGTTTGGGCGTGGGTTTGTGAGTGTGTGGGTAGGGTGTGGGTTTGTGTGTATGCGAGTTTCATTTTTCTCTTCTTGCAAGCCTACACCCCATCTATACCTACACTCACATCCATGCACCCACAGCCACATCGTCAAACCCACAGCCACATCATCACACCCACACCCACATCCTCACACTCATATTCACGCACCCACGCCCACACCCACACCGCACACTCACACCCACACTCACACACTCACACCCACACCCCACCCACACCCCACCCACACCCCACACCCACACCCCACCTACACCCCACACCCACACCCACACCCTAACATTTATTGTGCGTTTATCGTATTTTGCACCTTTTTAGTTTTGTACTTTCTTCTGTATTGATATACAGTAGAAGCTCATTAATGATTATTTTTCTTTCGTTATTTTTCTAGTTATCTTGTTTTATATTTTCTGAAGCCATGTAAGTGATTCATGATACCTCGATCACATCTGTATAAATGCTTGAGATTTTCGCAATAAATAGAGCAGAGTTAATGGCCTAGAAACTTTATCTTAATAGTGTACGAAGAGATGACGCAGCCAGATCGAATTTCAATTAGAGTGAGATGGACCATTGCCATGGGCGATCTAGACTGCACTAAAATATTATATTCTGTTATTGTTATTTCTAAATAGAACGTAAAAATAAAATTTTACAGTAGCTTGGACAAATTAACCATCTGGAGATCAGAATATACTGACCAATGTAATTTCTAAAGTCAATATTTTTTCGATTTCATCGTTCGTAGGTATTTATGAAAATCTTGTTAACCATTCAAGCACACTTTTAAACCTTTCGCACTTAAATCTCTACATAATTTTGTTGGCTTCTTCTGAAGAGTGCACAATGCACATGTAATAAGCAATATTTGCTTGCGTTGTCTCGAAATTATATTATTTGTTGTATCATTCTAATCCACCATTCTCTATCCTAGCGGTGACGATACATCATATTCAGTGCTAAAAGTATACTCAAAAGGTGTTGTAGTTTTCAAGATTCTACCATTGAAGTTTCTTCCTTGTTTGTAATTAAAATATGTCGCATTAAATAAATTCTTATGAAAACAATTGTTAAGGCTCTTTTTTAAGACAATTTAAATATAATAGACTTTTTTTTGTCAATACATATTTAGTATGTTATAGTTTTATTAAAATAATTTTTGTTTTATTGAAAATAAGTTAACTAACTTATTTTAATAATGATATTGATTATTTATTTTGTTTTCAAAAACAAAAAAAAAACATAAATTTTAAATACTAGACATCTGTTCTGTTTGATGAAACATAATGCTATCAGTTATAAGATCAATTTCTTTCAAAGGTATGATACGTGTCTTTTTAACAAATTTATAAACTAAATAAACAGTTAAAAAAACAGGTATTGTTATATAAGCTGCCAAGAAATTACTAAAACTAAATGGATGTGTTGTAAATGCTGAATAACCTTGTCCGAAAACAAATATAAATATAAATAATGATGCTAGTATTGGTCCAACTGGAAAAAATAATGCTTTATAAACAAGATCATTTAATGAATAACCTTGTAAAATATACGCTTGACGAAATCTCCAATGAGCTATTGATATTCCAAACCAAGCTATAAATCCCATAACACCTGTTATATTAACTAACCATCGATAAATTATTTTATTACCAATAAATGATAAACCAAATAATATTGTTGCGATTAATACTGTACATAAAAGACACCATATTGGAATACCATGTCGAGTGACATATTTAAATTGCTTTGGAGCTTTTCCTTCATTAGCTAAAGCATATAATATACGTGTACATACATAAAGACCTGAATTTCCAGCTGATAATATTGTTGTTAATATAATGGCATTCATAATATGTACAGCTGGTTTCATACCTGATGCAAGAAAAACAAGTGTAAATGGTGATACAGCTACATTTTGAACATCATTATGACCTAATCTAGAATCATTATATGGAATAATAAGACCCATTATAACAATTGATCCAACAAAAAATAAAATAATACGCCAAATTGTTCCATTCATTGCACGTGGAACATCACGACGAGGATTTGCACTTTCACCAGCTGTTATACCAATTGCTTCGGTACCCTAGAAAATTAATTAAGATTTAAAATTAGAATTAAAATTCACAAAAAACTTACTCCAAATGCAAAACCTGAAACAATCGAAGTAGTGACAATTCCACCAACACCTTTATAAAAAGGTGCACCATCAATTTTCCAATTACGAAATCCTATTCTATCATGTCCAAGCACACCTGTATCAACTAATATACCAACTATTATAAATACAATAATAGTAAGAACTTTAATCATAGCAAACCAATATTCAGCTTCACCATAACTTTTTACTGTAAATGCATTTAATAGAAACATTATTAGCATTCCTAATAGAGACCAAACAATACTTGGAAAATGTGGTAACCAATATTGTACAATAATTCCAGCCGCTACTAACTCTCCTGCAATTGCTGTAACCCAAGTAAAATAATAATTATAACCTAATGCAAAACCAAATGCTTCATCGACAAAACGACTTCCAAATGTATTAAATGAACCACTTATTGGATATTGTGTTGCAAGTTCAGCTATTTTAATTTTAAAATTTTTTTTTAGTTTAATCAGAACTCTTGATAACAACGTATCGACAATTTTTTGTTTGGAATATGAGTTCGCTTATTTTATTTATCTCTAAAGATTATTTTAAAATGAACGACAAATATTCTTTCAATAATAGAAAATTCATCGACACAGTCTGGGAATTTCAATTAAACTTGATAAAATATCTTGATTTTTCCATTAAATTGGTCAGTAATCTAATTCATATAATGATCAAGATCTTTCTCATTAAAATATTGAACAAATATTTTTAGTCTTAGAAAATTAATATAAAAAATAGACTTATTCATATATAAAATTATCGAAAACTGAATACTATTTCAAGATTTTCATTGTTAAGCTTTCATTTATATGAAAGAAAAAATATTTCAGAATCAGAATAAACAAAAAACTTGAAGTTTAATTATTAAATATTGTCTATGAAAAGCTTTCTTTTTTCTTTTTATTTTCTTTGACTTCTGAAAAGATAACAGTTCGAATCGCATGAAAATAAAATATGCTCGTAACGTCTGAAGTGAAATATAATTTTCTAGAAATTTTTATATGGTTCAATAAAGTTCTATGAAAATATTAATATCTGAAAAAATACTGATCTTGAATCCGATAAAAAATTTGTAGGAAATCAGAAAGATTGATGAAATGTTCGTCTATTCAATATTCGAAAGACTATAAGCTAAACTTTTAAAATAACTTTACCGCATCTACTATTCTCGATATGTATGTAGCTTTGAAAGGTTATTTTTTTAAATCAAGTCGACTTACTCGTACCATGTATTTGAAATTTATATTAGTTTGCCTGATTTCCTGGACATTTTGTATTGAAAATAGATTAAGACGTTTTTCCACATTCATATTCTTGTAGAGCTCGTCGAACCATGTAAAGTTCTTTAGGTACTTCGCTTAGTTTCGATCAATCAGACGTTCTATTCAGATGAAAGTACCTTCAATCTCGCTCTATAAAACAGTATATTTCAGTCAACTATCTTCATATGTATATTGTATAAATAAAGTCAGTTCACAGAGAGAGAGAGGTCGAAAGTTTTGGACTACTCTAATTAATCTATTACTCGATTTAGTGTATTGATTGATATATTAAGAAGATCTCTTCTATGATATTTGCTATTTAATCTAGTCGCTACAACTGACAACAAAAAAAAACAAAAGCTAACTAATGGATAAATAAATGAAGCAAATCATATTAGAAAATAAAATTTATATTTAAAGTTTAAACAAACCTAAACTTGTCATAACAAAATAAACCATAATTGAAACAATAGCATAAGAAATAAGAGAACCACCAGGTCCTGCTGATGCTAATGCTTGACCAGAAGCTAAAAATAATCCAGTACCAATTGTTCCACCTAATGCAATCATAATCATATGTCTTTTTTTTAAATTTCGATGAAGATCTGTTTTATTTAGTGGTATTAATCTTTCATTATCATCGAAATTTGTTTCTGTATTACTTGGTACATTATTGTCTATACTTATTTGTGATATAACACTTATCTAATTTATAAAATCAAAAAAAGAAAAAAAAAATCATTTTATTGAAATAAAATCTTACTTGAAAAACATTCGACTTTGTTTTTCCATTGTGAATATCAAAAGATGTTGATCGTTCTCTTGACATTTCTTTCAGATTGTTTCAAATCTAAAAAATAATTTTTTTTTTATATTTTACTATTTTCTATTCAATAACACTTTGTTATTCTAAACTAGATATGTGGTAAAGAGAAAAATTAGTGATGGAGAGTGCTGAGCTCTTTGATTTCATTTTACGACCTTTTTCTTTACAATAAACAAAACGATTTTGGCTGGAAAAAACTAAACATTTTCTAACAGTGGAGGATGCACGTGTCTTCATCCATGGTCACATCTCTACTGTAATCATTTATTTAATTCAGTTATTAACCTTTAAAATGAAATGTAATGCGTAGTTAACAATGAGATAACAAAAAAAAAATATCAACGTATATTCATGCACTTCGTTCTTTTCTTCATATTTTAAGAACAAACAATAAAACAAAGATAAAGTGTCGTGTCAACAAATTATTATCATTAAACACTAAAGTTGTTTTTTAATCTTACAATGAA